GGAAGGAGGACTGCGTAACAATTTGGCAGGCTCTGATCAACATTCCCAGAACAAGGATGAAGGGAAGCAAGAAGGCCAGCGTGGAGTGCGGAGGTTTCTCATGAAAAATTGTGACAGTGAAGGCGTTATATTATTTTTGCTGTCATTTTTTGAGATCTCTTATTGGTGAACTGCCGCTAAAACAATACAAATGTTACACGTTTATTTGGGAGTTTTAGATAGGCCTGGAAGGGCACTTGTCGAATCTTCTGCTTAATTTAGTCCTCGTCTCTAGATTCAGTCAAAATGCCTTCGAAACTTCGTTTGTGTTCTGAAGTCTGTCTTTTAGCCGAAGCATTTAATCGTCAAGGGTAAGGCAACTACTCGTGCAACGCTTAACATGAGACATGATTATACGACTCTGATATTGCTGCCCGAATTTTTAGCCCTTAGACACTAGTTTTATGCAAACTACGAGAAGCCATTATGTAACATTGAAAAAAAGATGCCACAACTGGTTCTGACTCAATTTTGTTAGCTTTTCCAGTCCTCATTACTTTACTAAGAATTCCTGTTATTCTGACTGAATTTTCAATAATTACATGAGTAGGCCTGAACTATCTGTCTTCCATCACCTTATGCTTCCTAGAGTGACTAGATCTCTTATTAAATATTTATTGATTGTCTTGAAACTCTCTGAATATAAGTTGCTCCTACTTTCTTTTGGTACCAATGAATTTCCGTATTGGTTAGCAACTAGGAGTGGTTACATAAAATTGAATAAAGTTCGATGTTACCAAGTCTTGGATAATCAAAAGGCTATTGAGAAATATTGACACTTCCATACTAATTGGAATTTAATAACATAAACTTCTTAAGAAGAATAAATGACCGGGGGGAATTTCGTTTTCCTTCATGTAACTACCACCATAAGAAATCCAATTTGTCCTTCCCACCTACAATTTTGTCGATTCATTGATATACAACAGGGAAGCCTATTCTAATTTTGGTTGGTATTGAGATTCAATTAAGTTTTGGACGCACTATACTTTCAGTATGAATTCTGGCAACTGCGAGCTCGGACTAGCTATTAGTAATGATCAGATTAAACCGAAATCTTGCGTCGAATATGTGCATGAGAAAAATACGCCTATGCTCGATTGCTTTTGACAGAAAATGCGGAATATTTTTGATACTGAAATGAGGCACGCTAGAATTTGTGACGGTATAAACCAGGTATATAATTTTGAGGGAGTTTGTGTGCTCAGTCGCAAACACAAATTCGGTGTTCGCCTCTAATTTATCTCATTTTATTTTAAAAAAGTAGTTATAACAAGCCAGCATTTATGGTATAACTACGGGTATAGTTTGATTTAAGCGTGACTACAATGTTCTTTTTTCTCATCCGTTCATCTATTCTTTTAAACGCACTATTTTGGCGAGAATGATATTAAGATATGGATACTAATATATTTAACTCGGTTTAATTTGGAAAGCCTTGTTGCAGCTTAACATAGTCCTCTTGTTTAGCAGATATTTCCTGTTACTGTATACATTTAATATTATTATTTTTACTTTCCTGTTATGTTACCGAATAATACCAACGCTCGTGAATATTCCTCTGGGTTATGTGAAATAGTTAGGCAACATTTCTTAAATTATGAAAGATACAGGATTGTGTTGCCGTGACGCTTACCACTCTTTAATCACTTACGCTTATCGTCGGTGGTAAAAAATTATTTTGTTCTAAAGATAGACATTTGCTCATTCGTACGATTTCAGCTCAACCGAATGTTTTTCTTGTAAGAAATCTAATTTAGATATTCTCTACTTAAAGATGATTGTTCCCTGCAAGCTCCTGGTCACCTAATATTGCAGTGTAAATATACTCAGATAATGCATCAATTAGTGAGTTAATTATTATGCATTTATATTTCGGTCTTTTTAGATAGTCTTCTTTCTCCAGATCTGACCCAACTGCTCCAACTTCAACAGCAGGCCACATTGCTCCAGCAGCAGCAGCAACAACATCAAGTTGAACGCCAACAACAACAGTTAAGACTTCTGGCTGCCATGGCCGATGCTTCTTTGTCACCTGGCGCAATTGCTGGCCTGACTTTAGCTTCTGCAGGACTTGGCTCTGGTGGTGGGACCCTTGGTGCAGCAGGTAAACCATTTTTTGGGTGATTGCATGTCAATTCTAATGCTTATTGCTATTTTACACGATTTTTTCTACTATTTATTTCTATCACTGCAAAATAGAAAATTAAAATCTATTGGGAATGTATACGGCTGTCTGTCTCAGTATATATTCACCTATTTTTTACCAAGTCTTTATTGGTATTTTATAATTTCTTATAACTTGAGCTACTTAACAATATTGTTTTTCATTCATGGCTTGCAAATTGACATCTATTTTTTTTCGCTAGCAGATGTGCTAGAATAAAGTTCCAAATTTGTCCACCAGTCTTCCTACACATTATGGATTCATTTCACCTCAAATTTTTTTCCTCTTCTAATTGATATTTTTGTTATATATCTCATAGTCACTCGATATGTTTAGTTTGTTTATATTTTTTCCAAAAGCCAAATTGGTTTTTGTATCAGTCCTTAGTCATCATATATTGGATTTCATATCTTAACTGCCTTGTAAACTCTATCCTCTCTTATTTATGACCTTAGGCAAGATTGACTTTTATTCTTTATTCTTTCAATGAATTTTTACTATTTAATATTTATTGATTAACCGCATTTTGCACTAATGGGCCGAATGTGATTACTAAAGTACCGTAGGCCTTAATTTTGTGCACTAAATAAATCCATTTAATAACGTCTTTAACGCAGCTTGTTTTGCTATTTCTGCGAACTGTTAAAATGGGAAGAGGGTTTGACTTCATTTTCGCAACTTGGCCATATTGTCAGGGGGACGTAATTGAAAGCACCTTTTTAAAAGTTATATGCTGCAAAATATTTGATAATTCCAAGCTTTGAGTTGTGGATTCGGTATATTCCCATACGCTTCGCCTGCATCTAATATCACACAGATTGGAGAATTTTATGTGCTTGACAGTCGAGAAATTAAACGATAGGTTTTCAATAAAGTTAGGCAAAGGTCAAAAACAGATTTATTGGGTAGAGATTTATTGGCAGGTCTTGGCGTAGATCCTATTTATACAAAAATTTCTGGAGAAAATGCACTAACGGCTCTGCTGTAAATCTCGATTTGACAGTAGGATATACAAGAAGCGGAAGGAATTAGGGTGGAGTAGTTAACACGACTGATCATCTTGAAACTAAGGTCTATCTATTTCACTTTACACACCAACATATATAAATAAGTATTTGAACTCACCACTTCTCGTAAACATCTACATGAACAAATGAGAAGAGGAATTCGATATGTCAGCACTAACCCAGAATTTTTATGCTATGCCTGAATGACTCCTTTCTCTTTGATCACATGGGAGAAAATTTAGATGAATTACTGAAATTTATAATCATATTTCTGAAAGGATCATATTAAAGATGGAACCAGAGGAGGAAGGGACGTTACTTTTGCTGGATGTCGAAGCCATTTGCTTAAATAAGGTACTCAAGACATGAATGTTTAGAAAGAAGTTACACATTGGAGTTATCTTAATTTATAATCTCACCACAACCAAAAACTGAAGACCAGACTAATGAGAAGCACAATTATTATCAAATCCTATAACTAATGAACGTTGAATTCTTGAATGAAGAATTGAACATATTTAGTCGGACGCGCCTTGGCAACAAAACGAAGGTGGAGAAAGATTTACAAGAGTGGATATACCTATTTTCTTGCGAACTTACTTAAAAACTACAACCAATATTAAGCAAATGAAATATTCAGGTAATCCACGAAAGAAAAAAACTTTACAATCTGCTCACTCAACATATACAGAAACGACACAAGGAAACGGAAGATTGGGGGTGGCATATACATTTTTGCCTCAAGAAATTCAATGAAAATGATATGAAGAGAGGCTAGGTTTCGAAGAATCCCTTAATAGATTGGTACTAGCGTACCCTTCATTTCGTTTGAGAAGGCGGGTCGAAAGGATTTGTAGATTGGCCTCACCGGATACAGAAGGATTGTTTCCTTGAACTTTTGTCTGATGAAATGTGCGAAGAGGACCTCGGCTCATCGTCCTACGACCCCGGTGGCTCAGTACTGAGCTTTCGTCTGTCATGTGACGGATATCATCAGAATCATAAAGCATTATTTACGAAAGAAACACTAAACCAAGAAATATGGCCAGCTTAGATCCTATTATTTTCTTATACCTCACTTTGCGATCCTAATCAAGCATTCTATGATTTGGTTAGTTGCTTTATGCTTATCCTCCATGAATGTAGGCGGGTCAAAGTGATGCAGGACGGGAATCAGATGTGGTCACAACTTTAGTCTATGTAAATAAACTAGCGTATATATCTGACTAATAATTTCGGAGCTAAGGATGACTCTTAAAAAAGTCGGATTTTCAATTGAGCCATGCAGTTATTACCTTAAACTGGAGACTAACACGATTCCATAGCTAAACCTCCGGTCTGCTCGTACACTTTACCATTAAAGATTGAATATGTACAATTCATTATTTAGTTCGTAAATATGTACTCTTGTGATATATATAGTTGGTGTTCCGAAATATAGACTACAAGGATGAATTGAGCTACACTATAATTTATGCATTTAAATTATAAAAATTATTCGCACACCACATCTTAGGTGATTTTTATTTTTAAAACTTAGCTATTGTAAATTCATATGACAGACGGAACAAAATGAAATAACATACGTATTAGTCTTGTGGTTAAGTAGATATGGCTATCTCAAAATGTCATATCTGAAGATTTAGCTAATCTTGACCCATCTGCTTTTATTAGTTAAAATATTTTTTAATTCTCTCATTCTGTGTTCCTTGATATAGGACCATCTGTAGCTAGCGGTGGGAGCCAATATCTGCAGGGCTTCGCTACCATTGGCCGAGGTCATCGTGGTACTTTCCTACGCCAGCAACAAATGTTACAGCAGCAGCAACAACTGCATCAACAATTGCATTTACAACAACAAGCTGCTACTCTTGCAGCAGCTGCAGCTGCCGCTGCAGCCGCCGCTGGATTAGGACCAAATGGCGCCCCACTTGTTGCTCAAAACGGCTTAGGTGGTACTGGTGGCTTCCAAGGAACGACAGCTACCCCTTCAGCTGACGGAAACGGTAGTGCTAGTGGAGCAGTATCTGGAATCGGGCAAACTGGAGGTGGAGTGAGTAACCTACTGGCCAATGCAGCAGTCGCAGCTGCAGCTGCCGCAGCAGCTTCTTCTAATGGTGTAAATCTTCCCTATGCTAGCCTGGCTAGCATCTTACAGTCCGGAGTACTTTCAGGTTGTAATGGTGCAGGCAACGCTCCTGTTACAGGATCCGTTGTTTACGAAAACTCATATAATTCGTTTCACGGGTAATTTCCACAATATCTTATGCAAAATGCTATCATTATTTTAGAAAAATTACCCCAGCTACTTGTTTTATTTATTCATTCCTCTATCCCCGATCTCGTCACTGTGAATCGCCGTAGCTGGCTCCTTCCCCTAGTAAATCTGTCGGCTGTGATTGCAAAGCTAAACTATTACACTATAATATAGTTAGTAGGCTATATTTTAAGCACGAAGATTATTTAAGATTGGCATGAATGGATATTAAACAATTTTGTTATGAGCTTCTTTCTAATATTACCTCTGAATAGATCCTATGAATTCATTAGTATTTCGCACAGCTCTGTGGTAACAATGAGGGGTTAATCGGGCAGAGAGTCTCTGTTTCTTTTTTTACAATGCTTTGTGTATTGCGCTTGTCGCCTACATGGATTGTTTTCATTGGCATTTATTTTCAATTTCATTCGTTAAAATTAGATAATACTACACAAATGTTAAGAATTAAGGCCAATATTGGTTAAAGTGTCTTGATTGCTTTTTTGCGTTTGAAACAAGATGATATTTGGGATTAAGAAAAGAGGAAATCGTGATGGATTCACTTAAGAAATTATATAGTTGAAATTAATTTAGTTGAAGATATGAGGACCAAGATGTTTTTGTCTCTGGTATGGTCGCGAATTCGTAGCTTGGTGTTGAGAATGACAAAACTCACTGATGATGCCAACTACGATGCCAGCAAAACGTTTTAAGAATGTACCAAGTCCACTGTCCGATGCTTGGAATCATGAAAACTACTATGTCAGACGACTTCGGA